AGTACTCGAGAAAACCCGCCCCAGCGCCACTCTGTCCACCACAAATCCCACTTGACCAGACATGGGATCGAACCCGGGCCGCCGCGGTGGGAGCCAGCGACTATCTGCTTAAGATATGGCGCGGTCTTCGCTAATACTAATCTTTACATTAGATTCCATCCCAAATCAGGGTAGCTCAGTTTCATCATAAATTCCAACACCTACAGCAATGAAGTACTTTGGCATGTAGACCCGTTGCTGGGCAACGACCGAGAGATAAGCAAAAATACAACAGCCGTTACTGAGTAATTACTTCGCAAATAAGTATGTTTTCACGGCAACAACTGGAAAGAGCAACATAGGAACGGTGTTTTCTGTGCAGTCAGTGCCGAGATGTTATACGCAGAACAGCTAGAGCAATGAGTTGTGAGACAGTCACCAGCCGGTAAGAACGTGAGCATGGAAGCAAAGGACATTGTTGCGATCTGTTAGGATCCGGCAACGACATACAGTAGTAGACTGGGAAGACTTAGTGTGTGATGTAGTGAACTGCAGATTGTGTGAATTAGCGAAAGCGCTATAGCTGCTTGTAGTTACGAATTGTAAGTGGTCAATAAATCCAGTTACCAATCCAAAACTCGTCTATAGTCACTCTATCACGTGGCAGTATTTTCATTCCATCTGCTTTCTCATTTTGAGACTTGGGATTTTCCAAAAACTTGTTCGACAGAGTTGGTAGGCAAATCCTGTTCTCCCCATACGAGCTATAAGTTTAGCCCATCACAACTTTCTTATTTTAACTACCTTAACGATACTGGGTATACCATAGAGCAACGGTTCCCAAACTATGGCCCGGCAAACAGTGTTCCGCGAGCTATGCTGAAGTGTTCCTGAATTTAAAGCGAAGGTGAAAGGTATGATTTGTCACCACTGGTTGACTTCTTCATAACATGTAACATTTAACGGCCGGACTATCCACAGTGCAGTAGGTTCGGCTGACTTCAGTAAATTTAAATGCCCGTTGCTGTAGATCATTTAAACAAATTTTAACACGTTACTTGAAACGCTGTAACTAATACAATTTTTATGATAACATTTTCTTCGTATTCTGGTTTCCCGCCTCTCGATCGTCCAGTCAGGACTGCCCAGCTTTTAAGCAATCCGCAGGTCTATTACAGACCGCCTCTGGGGTCTAGTGGTCAGAGTTCCTGGCTACGGTTTCAAAGGTCCGGGTTCGATTCCAAGTGCTACCAGATTTTCTGAGAATGGGTCTGGAACGGGGTCTACTCAGCCCCGTGAGGATAACTGAGGAGCTATTTCAAGGAAAGGGTGGCTCCGGTCTAGAAACCCGAGATTAACGGCCGTGGGGATTTGTTGCGCTGACCACGCGACACCCTCTATCCGTTAAAGTTAGTTATTTCGCCGATAAGCGGCGGTCGCTCGGTCGGTATAGTTCGATTGCGGACTAAAACCATGGAGTTTTCTTTTTTTTAGTTGTAGGTCCATTACCATGGTTAGAGAAAGAAGAAGGCCCTTTAAACCTATGCTAAATAAGTTAAATACAGTCCCCCAACTTTACAGACAATTTGTTTTAAGGTCCACATTGTCATATCATCTATGTGTAGGTCTCCCTTGTAGCTTATTCTG